ACAGGAATGCTAATCCTAATAGCAGGCTGTATTTCATGGCCAGCTTTCCACCGTTCATTGCCAGAACCTGTAAGCTTGCGGTAAAGTATGTCAATTTGGAATCTTCTGCAAGTGTTATAGAACTTCTACCAGTCCAAGAGTGTCTGCTATATCTCTATAGTACAAAAATCTGATATACGAAATAGGTCACTTATACACTACCAAAGTGGGCCTGTGCTTGTTTTAAACATCCAATTAAGCTAATTATTATTTTTCCTAAACTGATTGAGGTTTCTTCAGCTGTCAAATTGCAAGGCTCAGTAACCTGCAGCTGTCAGGTGTCATTGATCTGACGCTGGCTATGGGTTACTGTATATTGCAATTGCTTACTGTCTCTTTATAACAGCTTTATTGGGGTTTTTTTTAATAAACACTAGATCACAGGCCTCTAAGACTGATAAGCAGAGACAGTTCTTAGTGAATCTGGGCTGCCACTTTATAGTCTAATGTCTACTGCACTACTTCAGCTTTCTTTCTGCAAGTCAAATATATGTTACTTAAAAACAATAGTAAATTTTGTAGATCAGATGCTGCAGTCCAGCCCAAGATTAGTACTGACCTTTATTGTTTTAATTCTTTATCTCTATATATAAACCCATTCTGTACACTTTTACTTTGTATAATAGCGAAGGAGCAGTGCAGTATTTCTTTGTTATTGGTGATTTTGGCAAAACATCACCAAGCTAATGTATATATTTGAATATGCAATGAACTACCTACATTAATTCGATAGATCTCCATAATATCATCATATGAATAAGTAAAAACATCTGCCTGTGTGGCTGTTTGATAATAGTAAAAATTATGTTTTTAAAGAACCACAACATAAAATTAGTTTCTAGTTAAAGATTTTGTAGTATTTCATAAGCGAAATTATGTAAATGTGGATAACTGAATAAGGATTACAGGGAATTGTGGTTACCAATTGTCCTTTATTTTTAGGGATATCTCTGTTATTTTGTGATTAGAATTCTTTTCTTTTCTAAATTTTAACATTGTTCATCATCACACTAAAATCTCAGTTTTTGGGGTGTTTGCTGCTCTTATTATTACTGTTAAGATAACATGTGATTGTAGTGTACCACAATCTCCCAAGTTTATATCGGGAGTAAAATGCTCATGTACACTTGATAGGTGCTCCTGTACATTACTATAAACTAGATCCATTGGTTCAATGGAAAATCAAATCAAGTAAAATAAATGGATTTCTTCGTTAGAGAAGAAATATTTCAGCCATGGCATCAGACATGGTCAGGTTTTGTAGATAACTCTCAAAGTGATTTACTAAAGGCTTTATTTTCATGCTACTTTTCATTCAATTTAAATACCCAATCAGACTCAGGTAAAATCTCAGTTACAGTATATACAAAGTAGTTATGAAAATGAAGTTAATTGGCCAATTTTGACTTCACTTACCACATTTTGTTTTGTAAATATTCATAATTTACCACGTCCTGGATCTAATCCACCTAACAGTTTTGAACATTTGCTTTTCACTGCTTTTTTTTTTTTTTTTTTCAAGCAAGGTTTTATGTCTCTTTTCCACAGCGCTATGCCCTTCGTTTCCTGAAAAGAAAAGGCAGCTTGTAGCTATTGCTTCTCGATTTGCTAAAGGTCCCAACAGGAGCAGAAAGGTCAAGTGTTAATTAAACAAACATGATTTTGACATTTGTGTCTGTAAAAGGATGTGTCTAATAAAACTCCTTCCCCACAGTGAACTCAAACTAATATATCACCTTAATTATGTCTTACAGCACTAACACGATAAGCTTTGACATTGACATATATTAAAATATAACAAGGAAAATGTTTTGCATGCTTTACTTTCCTTTCTCATTAAGGTAAGGGAAACCTATAAAATATAAAGATGCAGGACTTAGATCATGCATGCCACAAATCTATACCAAGATGTTGAAACTAATACCATTCTTTCATTTCTGTTTGGTTTATTTGTTAACATGTTGGCTTAAGGTTTTATTTTATTCACATGCCTATGTAGTTGTTATAATTATTACATGTAAAAATGTTAGCATATTGCTCACACTTTGCTAAATTTGCTGCATGTGCATTTTTTAGTGTTACATGTAATAGATATTTTCTTTCTTACTTTTTGCATGACAAACAAAAGGGTATCAAAAGAAAATGAACAAAGGGGAATGATAAGCACATTTAAAGTCAGTAACATAATAACATTATTAAGCAGGCAGTAAAAATGAGCAGAAAATGCCTGCGATGACAGAACATATCACTCAGTATGCTGTGACGAATAGCAGTAGCCATTACTAAATCTACAGCAAGTAACAGATTTCCGCAGAGGTGAATGTATGAGATGTAATGTTTATGTCTTTTTACATCAAGACTTTATTTGGTTTGTTACTGACTAGTATGATATTTCTTAGCCATAACCACAACAGTTCATTAATCAGAGGTAACGACAATCCTTGTCTAGTTTGTCTCGAAATACACTTGGTGAATTTAATAAAGCAGTGCAGTGAGCAGTCAGGTTGTACAAGGTGCACCAATCCGAAACAACCAATCACAACCAGGTTTTAGTTTACTTGACTTCTGGTATGCATAGATTACTACGCATTGGGGGTTCTTTACTAATACTGCATGGTGCAAAATCTGGTGCAGCTCCACATAGAAACCAATCAGCTTTCAATTTTTTTTTCTCAAAGCTTAATTGAACAAGCTAACGTTAGAAGCTGATTGGCTACCATGCACAGCTGCATCAGGTTGTGAGTGCTCCAGGTTTAACAAATCTCCCCCTTTGGGTTTCTTCTGTACTTACCTTATTGAATAAGCCAAGCTAATCTGTTGAATGTCAATTTGCCTCCAGTCTCTATGTGATTTCCAGGATTATAAACACTTTATTATAGTCTGAGTGTTTATAATAGGCACCTAATTGTCTTACAGTAACACATATAAGGGTGCAAGGTCTGTTCTTTTCTAGGTGAATTCCTGGTACATACACACACAGCAATTTACATCTTTGTCATGCACACAGCCCCCTGTGTGTTCTACAGTGAAGGAATGTTTCAAAGTTTGTTTATGTTACAATGTCCAAAGGCAAAATTTAAAAAAAACAAGTCTATACCACGAAATAGACAAGGCAAACTATTTGATTATTGGAGAAAGATGTTAGCAAGGCAGCAGAAATGTTTGAGATGAAACATTTGGACAGTTCTCAAATGCTAGATAAATAAGCTGTGGGACACAGACAATGTATAGAAATAAACATCACACATAGTTGCACGGATTTTCTCCGGTGGTCTGCATACCCTAGGCATGGGCATAAATCAACAGAATCCATACATGTTGATTGTCAACTAAATGAACTACCACATGGTATAATTTAGTTGTCAGCTCAGATTTTACCACAGCTTCATTTTTTCCTTAAAAACCAAAGATACTAATAGCAAAGGTGAACCTAGCTATTTAAAAAAAGTTGTATGTGGTCCCTGACATGTCAAAGTTTATTTCCACTATCGTGGAATGTATACTGGCAGATATACAAAGACATACATGATGATGAATTTGCATCATTTTCAGATCCAGGCTACTTATTGCTCCATAACACCTAACAATATTTTATTATTGGGACGAGCTCTGTGAACACAAAAACATGTTCATATACTGTTTTATATTAAATATTTATTTTGTTTCCAATTGTGAGAAGAGAGAAAAACATGTTTTCGTTTTTAGCTGTTGGATAATTTCCTAGGTAGCAAAAACGTGAAAAAGGCTTTGGTGGAAAATAGATCCCTTAATGCCAATGGCGCAAATGTTAAGAAACAATAAACCATTTTATGTGAGAACTTAATGCACCATCTCTTTTCTCCTTTTCTAAACATAGGATGCATATGTTCGTATTTGCAATTAATTTGATATTGCCAGTGATCACTACTTTATTGTTAATGTGCAGGCACAATGGGCACATTTTAGATATATCATTATATCAAGTGTACTTTTTATTCGTACATCTGTTTGGGCTCCTATATAGTTCTGTCTAACTGCATACCTTGATGTTCTTTATAAAGCTTTGTTATAATACTTTCTTTAGATACTTTTCAAAAGTAATGTATTTTTAATTATTTTAATTAATCTGTAGGCCTCTACAAGTGACTTGTCAGTGTTTAGATGTAGAACTGTGCACAAACTTAGAGAAAATTGTGGACAGTGGGAACATTTTTTTCTCTTTTTACAGCTTGTAATCAGCTTCTTGCTTTCATATTATAAGGTGCAATATCACATTTCTAAAATTGAATTGACTTCTAAGAGCAGTGATATAAAAAATATATCACTGCTCTTAGAACTTGAAATCAATGTTTTTTCATGTGTCCACGTGTTATGTTTCTCTTATATACTCTAATGAAGCTACAGACTGCCTTGCAATTTCCATGTTAGACACCGTTAATTGGACTCTAAGTGTTGTGCTATGTTCAGCACTGGGCACCTTGTTGTAAGTAATGAAGTGTGGCTAAGACTTTTCCGGCTGTACAGTTTAATCAGTCTGGATAATGTAATGGAGGAAATGCTTGCACCTCATTCCCACCCAGGAGACATGATTAGCCGTGAAAAGTGATAATGTGGCCTAGGTCAGCCAAGCCCTCTCCTTGTCTAATTTATAACAGGAGTGTATAACATCCTTTTTTGCTTAGCGATCTGAATGACATGGATATAAATGACATGTGCATTGACTGTTGCAAGCTTAGCGTGCACAATAGGGAAACAATGAGTTACTTAATAACAAGAATATATATTAACTGCAAAATAGATCTGAATGGTATCTAAACAAGCATTTTAAATGCTCAGATTGCCCTCAGTTTTTCAATTTTTGCATATCAGATGAGCAGAGGATACACAACCATTACAGACTCCATGTAAAAGATATAAAACTGTCTGCCAAGCTTTCCCACATACCTTCTTGAACAGCAGGCACAAAGGACATCGGCGATGGTTCAGTGGGATGTTGACATGGACCAGGCACCTTCCATTCTCCAAACAGAGAAGGCGTAGCTGAGTCTTTCATGAGCAAGATAGTTACAACTTGCAATCTTGTGGTCCAGCTCATCGCTCTGCAAAACTTGATACAGGAAATCAATATAACGTGAAGCCAGCTTCAGGGTCTGTATCTTGCTGAGTTTATCAGATGGTAGGGTAGGGATGATCTTCCGCAGCTCTGCAAAAGCGTCATTTAAGGACTGTGTGCGTTGCCGCTCTCTGACATTGGCGATGATTCTCTGTGTGTGTACATCCTCAAATGTTTCTAGATGGGGACTCCTTTTGCTGCGCTTGCATGATGGTGATAGGGACACCCTCCCATCACCAGATTTGCCCACCAGTACTGTACGTTTACGTATGGCCTTTCTCTGTTGGCGCTCAGCCTCTTCCTCACTGGTTACCAGGCTGTCTTCGGGGGGAGTCAGGGCATGCTCCTTCTTCTTTCATCTTGTATGAAGTGGTCCCTGCTGCCTGAACTCTACTTGTGATCCTCCCCCAGATGCCTGCTATGGGATGCACTCTTTTTAAAGAACCTTTTTAAAGTGTTGGAGGCAGAAGGCTGTACCAAGAAAGGTGAAATAATTGTGGAAAGCAGCGTGTGTGTGCCAGCACAACTGGTAGTCAGTTGTACCTCCCAGCAGATTCAGGCAGAGTGTGTGCTCCTAAGCTTAACAGACTTCCCGAATAATGCTCCTATCCTTCCTTCTTTTCTTTCACTCCTCATTTTTGGATGTTAAGGAGGGATTTCACAAGAAATTGGCCTTGTGCTTCTTCTGATTGGATCGCCCAAGCCAATGAATTGGGGGGAGGGATCCATAACTTCTTTCTAACTTTGTGATTCCAAATAACTCTTCACCCCCCTCCCTCTCTCCTTTCCTTCAGTCAAAACCAATCCATCATGGAAAGGTAGTATAAACGTTGCTGGACATTATGGGTTCCAGATTTAAGCCTGCAGGCACAGATGCACAGTGAACGGAAGGCTGGAGCAGACTGCCCATCAAGCAAGAAGTAACATAAAGGCGGCATCAGTCCCCTTAGGCGCCACTGAGGGGGTATAGGGGCCTTTCCCAGTGAATCGCTGTTACCCCTTAAATCTTTCAGACACTTCATCATTTACATATAAAGGCTGCACCGTGCAGTCTCTGCATTCAGAAAGCATAATTTCTCTATCAACAAACGCTGCTAGGCAGAAGAAAATCTTTATATAGGATGAGGTTACCTCACTGGGGAGAGTGTATAGTGTAGAAGAGCCGCACAATAAACAGACACTGTTGTGACAGATTGTACCAGTGCAAATCCTAACCAGATGATGGGAAAACCCTTTCCTTTCCGAGTTGATTTTATAGACACGCACTGTGTTTGTGTCCCGAAATCCCCTGATCAGAACAGACTGCCAGTGGTGTTTTGATGTTGCATTGGACCAGTCTTTAACATTATGGGAAACGGACATGCTGTGATGCTGCTGCCAACTGTAAACTCTACCGATATATATATACACATGCACAAGCTGCAAAGATACACAACCATTTAAAAAATCAAGATGAATCATCTTGTCTAAACAGGATAGCAAACATATAGTTGTTGTAGTTCCAACAAAAACAGACAATGGGAAAAACTAACAATAACACTTTGTATCTATGCTTGGCAGTTGAAGCTGCACATGTAGCTGTAGATGGGAGTCAGTGTGCAGATAATGTAGACCTAGGTACATATCTGAGAAATAGTGAGCTGCCTACTGTAAAGATATTACAAGTTATAGGAGAGTTCCATTACAGGCCTGAGTGGGCCTTCTGGATCACTAGTATTTTTCTGATTATACATTACATTTACTTTTTTGCTGATACACAAGTTTTAGTTTAAAATATAGCCAGTTGCTTCTGTGATGCCCTACTTGTATATAAGAACCTTCTTTAACAATATTAGTATTATACAGTATTTATAAAGCGCCAAGAGTTCGTTTGTACATTACAAAGGGAGACAGAACATGTGACAGTACAATAACAATACAATGCAAAACATGAGGGGATTGAGGGCCCTGCTCCTTTGAGCTTACAATCTAGAAGGGAGGGGATAGTGGTACAATATATTGCAATGGTAAGACTTAAATCACAGCAACCAAATATCAGACTTTATGGTGTTATCATCTAGCTCTAAACTTTCCGCTTAAAATTAAATTGTTGTTAAATCATTTAATGATAGCAACCTGTTTTCTAATTCAAATGCAGTTACAGCCTCTAATAAGATCAAATGGAATATTGTAGGTAAATGTATCATATTATTCAGTTGTGTATGGTGTGCTCATGAGATCATTTTATATTTGTAACCTTAAAGCCAAACCCCAGATGAACAGGTAATTATGCTGTTCAATTATATATGAGACAATGTATTTCCTGGAATGGGTTGTAAAAAAAATGTATATTTGCTTACTTATACACTAGCGTGTGTTGTCACCTTCAAAGTAGTGAACTTGTGAAGTGACAGAATTTTCTAGACGACTGTGCCACTGCTAAAACATACCTGGAATTTGTTTTCCGGACTGCAGCACAGTATCTTTGTCGCAGCATGGTGGATGTCCAGGATGTCATCAAACATGTGTCCTTTTAAGGCATTTTTGAATGTTTGGAAACAGCCAAAAGTTGCAAAGTGCTAAGTCAGGGGAATAAGGTGGTTGGTCAAGTTTTGGATTGGATTTCTGGGCCAGGAACTCATGAACACTTAACGCATCATCATGCAGGAGCATTGTCGTGGTGGATTCTCTGTCCACATTTGCATCTGTCCTTTGCGTTATTGGCTGCCCACTTCTTGCATCATCTTGGTCATTGTCTCATCTCTCTTTAACACCTTTGTGCTGAGAGTACGCAAATATGCGTGCTGTTGGTAGGTGGGCCTTGATGCCAAGAGGTCGCATATGTCCCTACCCAAATGTAAATAAACCTGTACCGAGAGTGCATGCCCTGAGCACTCCTGGCACAGTTGCCAGCGCCTAACGGAAAGCTCTTGATCGCTTCTTGTGATCGGGAGCTTTCCAACCATGTGAACGCTGTGACAGCCAATCACGGCAGTCACATGTTTATAATCCCCGCCCCACCTCCCGGCTTCAGAAACCTTTTTCAAAAGCCGGGAGGCGAGGAATTAAGGGGTTTTAAATCACCTATGCCATTCAAAAACCCCTTTATTTCTTCATGGAATGTTCATCATAAGCCTATTGTAAGACAGCTTAAGTTTCACTCGCACTTTTGCCAATTTTCATGCAAATTTGATGTTAATCCACTGCCCCAGATTCCTGTCACTCATTTTCTGCCAACAGACATGTTGTTTAGTCTACTACTCCACAAACACTCAGTCAACTGGTCTGTGACTCAGGTGAGTGCAAGTTAGAACATGTCAGAACACCTAGACGTAAAGCTAAAATGTAAAAATAATACTTTGTATCAGAAGAACCATTTTTTTTTTTCTCCAGAAACTGCAGATAACAAGAGAAAAAAAAAATCTTTAAGAGATGACTTTGTATGACAGCTAGATTATTGAGGATTTTACACAAATCCCATGCTTTGCAGGGAGAAAAAACAAAGAGATGGTTCCCTCTGTAAAGATCCCTGTGTTGATTGTCAACACAGGGCTCTGGGCTGTCATTGAACACAGCTGTTCAGCAGGTCCTGAACATGAATCATTGGCTGGGACTTGCTGAGAAAATCCAGCTGTGTCTAATCATTTTGGCATCCTGTACCCAGAAGAGGCCAGCGACGTACAGGTACGTCGCTGTGTCTGTACTGGCTGCCCATCCGCAGCGCATTGCAGGTGGGTGGTCCTGAAGTGGTTAAGTAATAAACAGTTGGAATAGAAAGGTTTAATGATGGTAACTAACTTGGTGGTGGCTGCCTTGAGCAGTTTACTGTTGTCCTGTTTTGAAGATGACAGTTGGTTACTGTAGTTCACTGACATTAATATATTTTCTGCACCCTCAGCAACTATTCTAAATTCTATAATTGAACACAAATTATTGGCTGACTATAAAAGCACAGAACTGAAGAGAGAGAACGCCGAATGCACATTTTATTGTATAGCAAAAGGAAAAACGTATATTTTAGGGCCTGAACAACATTGTAACAAAAAAAATGTTGTTGCCCAAGGCAACCAGTTAGGACCCTTCCTTTATTGTCAGACTTGAGCAGTCAAAAAGATAATTGGAAGCTGGTTGGTTGCGAAAGACATTACATTTTTCCTCTTAGAACAATTGTCAAACACCAGCCCCTTTGGGACTGTATGAAACAAACATCTGATTTCTTATATATATACCATGAAATTTTAACTAGAATACCAGTGAAGACAACTGAAAACCTACTTCTGGGAGAGAACACTCCCCCCCCCCCCCCCACTGACACAACTTCCCCATAATTAATGCCTTCATCCCACAAAATATAAATATTCAGGGGGGCCATTTATGAAAGGTATGCAGCATGAAAATGAATGCATTCTTTTGAAGTTCATATAATCAGTAAAAACTAGTTCTAAAGCTTAGAAATTACTTGGTTTCCCACACTGTATTGAATAACATGTAGGATTAAAGGTCACACATATCTCTCAACAAAACAGCCTCAGCACCCAAGGGTCTTTATGAGGAGCTGAGGAGTTGTTACCTCTGGAGTCCTGACAACATAATAAGTGGTATGTTTTTCAACCCACTTGTATAAATACTTATTGCATCATTTTATGTACATCCTCTTTTAAAGGATCAGTCCACCCTATACTTGTTTTCTAAGCTTTGGTAGACGCTCTAACGTTAAACCACCTATGAGTTTCTTGTATCTTTTAGGAGCTTCAGTGTTGAAAATTCTAATCTGTCTTTCCAGGTCCACACACCTGCCAAGGTCAGTACATAGAGCTTTCCCATTTGTATTAATCAATGTATCAATTTGTATTAATGGAATTCAATATGAAGTGTGCAAACACCAACGTTGTAGCAGAAGGAATGAATCTCCCTGGTGGATGAGAACAGAGTGGGGAACCAAAGCTGGAGTTCCTGAGAAATATTGGATGGAAACTGTTATCTGTTGACTAAAATATTCCACCTATACTTGAAGCTAAAATGTAAAAATAATACTTTGTCTCTGTAGCAAAAAAAAACATTTTTTTCTCTCCAGAATCTACATATAACTGTCACAGAGAAAAAGAAAAAAAAATCTTTAAGAGATTACTTGGCATGACAGCAAGATTATTGAAGGTTTTACACAAATCCCATAAAGGCATCTACAAAATCATCAGGACA